CAGAAGAAGAACGCAATCAAAGACTTCAAGCACAAGCTGCAAGACAGGCTGCTCAAATATAGGAAGAGACTTTGGAACAATGTAAAGTTAGACTTCGAGCTCAAGCTGAAAGGCAGGCTACTCAAAGACAGCAAGAAACTGTTAAACAGCACAAAGCCAGACTTTAAGCACAAAAATTAAGACAAATAACCTACAGAGAGCAAGAAACAGAGGAGCAACATGATGTACGACTTCAGGCTCAAAGAACAAGACAAGCTCAAACACGATCTAATTTCAAATAAAGCTTTGTTTGGTTAAATTCTTTTTTATTTCTCGCATCACAGCGTTTGTCTACTTACTGAATAATTTGCTGAAAAAATATTGATCTATACATTTCAAATCTAAATTTTCACTGTGCAACGACGGGTATCTCAGCTAGTATTTTTTATTATTGTGAAATAGAATGTGAAATCCTGTAGTGAGTGTGCCTAAGTTACAATGAAATATTTTAGTTTGATCATACCTATTATACACATAAAAAAATATATGTTTTAGAAAGTTTTATTTTTCTAAGATGTATTTTATATAATGCATTATGTTTCTTTCTTAATATAATCACATATTTCTCTTTCATTCCAGATTGTCTCATTAATGGAGGAATTGAAATTATGTGAAAATAACATGTTTGACTGCAAGAAGCAGATAGCAGATACTGAGAGCCGACTGAAACAACAGCAGAATTTATATGAGGCTGTTAAAAATGATAGAAATCTCTACAGTAAAAGCCTTGTTGAGGCACAGGTATAAAATAATTTCAAATCTTATATGTGTGTTCTTTAGAAGTTGATTTATAGATTACTTGCCATAGTAGCTATTCACAATCAGGTCATTGTTGTTGATTTCCAAACGGAACTTTTCTTTAAACAGGATTCATGAAATGTGTATGTTGTATATAATGTCTTTACTGTTAGTCACATTCTTATTTCATGTATGTTATATTGTAAAAGAGGAAGCCACCAATACTGATGTTTATTACCATCGAGGAGTACTGAGTGGTCACAAGAACATCTCTCTAAGTTTGTTTTTATTCTTCCTAAGGATGAAATCACAGAGCTTCAGAGAAAATTGAAAATCCTTAGCCACCAGCTAGAACAACTGAAGGAGGAAGTAGGAAGTCAAGAAGTGGTCCTATCTAAACAACACACAGACCTTCAGCGAGCAGAAAGAGAACGAGATCTTCTTCAGGAGGAGCTTCAGCATCAACGACAGCTTGTAACAGATATTCGCTCTCAGCTGAAACATCAAGAAAATGAGAAGCACAAACTTCATCAAATCATCAGTGAAGCAGATCAAGAAAAATTACACCTGAAGAAAGATCTTGACCAAGTGAGTAAATACAAACATACGCGATTACTTTATTTAGTTATTTTACCTCAATAATTTATCATTTTTACCAAAAACTTTCTTGTCTTCAAAATTAGATGTTAATAAAACTGTTGATGTTGTGTACCCATCTTTTACCATGTTTATATGCTGATAGCTTATTTACACTACTCTTTTAACTAGTGTGGTATATTCCTTGCTCTGAGATTGCTAATTAACAGGAGATCTGACAGGATATCTGTTACAGAGTAATAGTGAGTTTCTCTGAATACCTGGGCTCGTGAGAACGAAATAAAGAAATTGGACTCAATGTATAATATATAAAGTATGCTCTTTATTGTAAAAGAACACACAAACACTCTGTACTTGCTCAGACAATGAACGGTTGCTTGTACTGGATCAGAATTATTCTCTATACAAAATAGTGTAGCTCAGGATTATCTACCAAACTATCTAAACTTAACATTTCTTACTTCAGGGGTAATATCATCTACCAAAGTATCTAAATTCAACATTTCTTACTTCAGGAATAATATCATCTACTAAACTATCTAAAGTTAACATTTCTTACTTCAGGGGTAATATCATCTACCAAAGTATCTAAATTCTACATTCCTCACTTCAGGGGTAATGTCGAATTTACCCAGAGCAACTAGAACTATCCACTTTATTGATAATTCACATTCAACTATAAGGGAAGTGTTACCTTAAGATACCTCCTTACCTACCATTGAGGAACACTACTGCCTGCAATCTTGCATAATGTGCAATATTACAACCATCACCCATGGGCATAACAGGCATGATATAGAAAAGTTTTTATGCATCTAATTGAACAGGCAGCATAAAACAAAAGCATGTTGCACGTGATATAGTATGAAAGAAAGCTTAAATATAGCTTAAGCAGTTTACTTTTTATTGCTAAAATAACTTACAGGTGTTCAGTACAAATTTTTTAGTCTTTTTTTTTCCTGTCTTTTCTGTGTTCTAATTTCATATTATTTATGTATTCAGATTCAACAAGTGTATTTTGTCTAAGATGTATTATTATATTATTTTACATTTCTGAACTTAATGTTTTATCTTTTCTTACTTTCTAGAGAAATATTGGCTTTCTCTTGTTATGTTTGTATTCTAATCACCTATGTTTTTGAACCTATTAAAAATTGGATGTAACAAACACTGTTGTTTTTACTGAGAGCCTAATGGCAACCCTGGTTTTATGCCAAGTTTTTTATAAGTACGTGAAGCATTGTGAATTAAATGTCACTTGTTGAAGCATTGTAAATGCACTGAAGACACCAATGACAAGCTATGGGTAATCAGTCATGCATACCTCAAAACATAATTACTGGTGACTATCAGTAACTTATGTTACTTAAGTTAGCTAACATTGTAATTACAGTAGAATAATCTAAATAATATATAGGTTAAAGACAATTCTGTGTTACTCATTCACTAGATATGAAATTTATTGTAAGTTAGTTACAGTAATACAATTGAGAAGACTTATCATAAGTTGGAAAAAGAAACCATAATACTATAAATAATATACAACAATAAGAAGATTAAATTAAAACTTTTTATATGTAACTTGTATCCAATCATTAGTTTGTTACCTATTGTTATCTGTATTTTCAGCTAAAATTCCATCATTATTTCAAAGAATTTACTAGTTTTAGACTAAGTATAAGTCTGCACACACACACTCACTTGCTTAATTACTCAACAACAAAATTAATTTTTGTAAAATAAATTATTATTTATCAAACATCCTAGATAGAAGAACAAATATATAAAAAAACACTTGCCAATAATACCTTGCAATCAAAATGGATTAGAACAAGTATATGTAGTTACAAAATATAATTCCAAAATGACAACCCGCCTCTTTACACAGAATAGCTATCTTCCTAACACGTCTGCCTAAAAGATTTGCATGCCACTTGGCTAGAGGCAACTCCCACCTGATTTCACATGTTCTAACGTGAATTTTTTGGTGCTTGTTGACGTCATCATGTGACAAAATCCCTCGACCAAAGTAGGGTGACACGACCTCCATGTTCAGCAACTCCCCCTATGTACTTGCACTCATTATAACTTCATTCTTTTCCTCGGCACTGAATGACTTGGATGTTTTTAACATTTATTCAACTTCAATCTGCTGAGATTTGTACTAGTTAACAAAGCTTTCATTATACTTTGGACTTTGTCCTTATTGCCTCACTTTGTTACTATGATTTCACAAGTTAATGTGAATTCTACTTACTCCTCTGTGAGTAAAGATACTGACTGAAAGCAACATTACAGTTTGAAACAGAACAAGAAGTAAACGAATTTGTTCATCTATTCCCTCTTTTTGGACTTCCTTTAGGTACTTCTATATGGTGAAGGAAAACCCTCAACCTTCCATTCTGTTTTGAGACTTGATGTAACAAGTATGCTCTATTCTTTCACTTTTGCGAGTCTCTTATGACACTTCATGTTTTTTGTTCCACGGCCCTAATCTTCATGATTATTTAGTTTTACCTCCCTCATCTGACACTCATGGTCATGTTGACTCCTTTCTTGAACAACTTCATACCCATAACCTTAAGCTTCACCCTCCATGCTTATCATAATGATTCTCAATTTTTGATTCCAATTTCCCATTCTTGATTTTCAGTCTTTGTAATCTCTTTTACCTGCTGAGGGATTGGACTCTTTGTTGTCTGTTTTTCTTACTTCTTCATTACCTCTCCTCCCTGTACTTTACATCTAAGGTGTGTCATTGTGCTACAGATATATTTTCAGTAGAAGTTTGTTCCCTTCTCTTCACTACTATAGCCCATACCACTTCTTTTGCTCTATTCCTACTTACCTGGTTCCTCTGCTATTTGGACTTGTTACATAGGTATACCCTTACCACTCACATACTACCTACTTCCTTTCTTTGTGATTTTCGTCATGCTCTCTTTCTTCACCCAGGTGTCTTTAATAGTGTTCTTGAAACAGCCCAACACCAGTTGTCACTGTCTTCTCTGTTTTTTTGCATCTTATAACCTTGCCCTTCTACTCCTGTTCCTGAATCAGATCTCTCTACTCCTCACCTTTCTATTCCACCTTCTAGGCTTTACTCCTCTACCTCTCCCCCCTCCTTCCTTCCATCAAACTCACTGCATGTCTCATTGGTGACTATCCTGTTGATTTGTTAAAATTTTATGCCAACCCATTTCAATTTGGGATTCTAGCTGTTCTGTGTGTAGAGGTGAGTTAACATCTCAGAAGTTATGTATTTCTGTATCCCACCTGTCCAGAAGTTCTGTATCCAACCTGTCGAGCAATTCTCTATCCCACCTGTCGAGCAGTTCTCTATCCCACCTGTAGAGCAGTTCTATATCCCACCTGTTGAGAAGTTCTGTATCCCACCTGTCCACGAGTTCTGTATCCCACCTGTCTTAAGTTCTGTATCCCACCTGTCTTAAGTTCTGTATCCCACCTGTCCTCCCCACTTCTGATGCACATTTGTTTCTCTTCACTCATCAAAGAATAAAGTTATCATGAGTGAAAGTGTATTAAAGGAATTACTGCACATGAAGGTTGTGTCACTCACCCACTGGTGGAAGGTTTTGGTTCCATTATGATGTCATCATGCACCAGTGTAATTCACGATAAAACACGTGAAATTAGGTGGGAGTTGCCTTAAGGATTGTGGCATGCAAATCTCTTAGGCAGACACACGAGAAAAATGGGTATATTGTGTAATGAGGTGAGTATCTATCGGAAATACATTTTAGAAAAATGTTAACATTATAACTTTCATTTACATAAACCACTGGATGTTCATTATTTATACACATACATCTTATCAGTATATATACAGGAAACACAACTTTTTCTTAATTTTTTAAATATATGCAATAGTCCATTTTCAAGATCCCTAAAAAAGTTGTTGTTATTTACATTGAGTAAAATGTAATAGCAATAATACATTGGTGACTATCAGCATTTTGTAACGTATAACTTAAAACTTCATCAGTAATTACAAATACCTAAATATATTGTTATGTATCTGCTTGTCTGTTTGTTTCCGGTAGAAATTCTTTTCGAGCATCTTCAGCGATACGAGTCCTTTCTTGATTAAACCAGTTTATTCTTCCTCGATACAAACTTTTAGTACACAGTAGTTCCACAATCAGTACGTTTCTCGTCACTGTGATACACGCTATAAATCACAGCGATTCACAATCTGCAACTCTGCTGGCTTTCTCTGCCAGACTTATATACTAACGAAGAGGTCATCTCGAACACACAAGGACTTCCCTGATCATTCGAGAAACTTTCGCACATCACGTGACTTCTGCTGTCGTAACACTGCCCCTTCC